CAATTTATGTGAAAATTTTTTTTTCAAAAAATTAAATATAAAGTAGATAGTTGTAATCCTTAGAGTATAGCTTTTATGAGAAAAATGATTTTATAGTGGGTTGCCATTTAAAAAAATATTTTTTTTTGTAGAACTCAAAAACAAAAGGAAATTTCGAAAATTATTCTTGTTAAATCATCACAGTGGTTATAAATGATTTTCATCTAGCCAGCTGTGAATTTTCCATGTAAAATAAAAAATGCCGCTTTACGAAAATAGGGGTTCCTACTTGTTTTATCTCAAAATTAAAAAAAGCGTCCACTTCGAAAATAGACTTCAATTATAAATTTGTTTTCTTCCAAAGTACACATTATTATCAATTATTATTGGAAATTAGTTGAAAAAATAAAAGTTTAATTAACAACAATTTATTATTAATTAATAAGTGACTCTAATGACAGAACAAGAGCTTTCAAAAAAGTAGAGCGGCACAAATAAAGTTACATGCAAAAAAATTCCAAAGTTGGCTAGATGAAAATCATTTATAACCACTCTGTACTTTATCACTCATCAATTATTTTTTTCAAAAAATAAATAGTTTAAGCAAAAAACGTTTGGTTTCATACTTTTTTTATTCACCTGGTACAATCATTTGTACGGTACCAGAGACATCGGAACTGTTTTATAAATAAATTCAAGGTGATTAAATAACTGCGAGCTTCATCGAGATAAGATAACTGTAGTCAGACCAAAAACTTAGACTTTTTTAGTTAACAAAAACACCACCCACGCATAAATATTTACATTCTTGTAGCAAGCTGCGATTTTMTACTTACCGTATGTAATGTCGTGTGTCACAGTCTCAGCAAGTGATACAATGACGGTTTGTGTCATATTCCGGATAGACGGTGAGGTTCCGGGTGATCTCGACAGGGGCTTTGGAGTTTTGGAAAAAGTCGCATTGTCTTGTTTTTGCACAGAGGACTCCATCGCGACTCACACACCACCTGTTGCTTAAGACAAACACCCACTGACCCAGATGTAAATAAAATTCACTTTTATATTTATCCTGCGGTTAAAACTGATTTAACGCCATGTTATCTTAGTTAGATCGGATTTTTTTATGTAAACAAATAGTCGTTTAATTGTTTGAAATTAATTTATTACTTCAATCACTCGGTATTTGCCGATTTTAATCCATGTTTTGGGACGGCAACTATCGGAATCGGAATCGCAGTAGGCTAGTCCAAGTCCGCGTACACTTCATTCAAACAAACTTTTCCTTTCACAACTGAAATATTGTACAAGTTGTTCAACCAACGCACTTGATAGATTATTCCTACAATTTTTTTCGCGTCTCCACCTTTTATTGGAATTATCTGTGTAAATATTTGGGGGATTTGCACAGTGTGAGCAAATTTTCGTTTCAAAGCTAAAAATATAATTCATTCAAACTATCTGGTGTGCGGATATTTATGTAATTGCTGGATCAGAGGTGGCATTGAAATTTCAAGAACATTAATTTCTTCTCTAATATCATCACATTTTTAATTACTCATCCTTGAATTCGATTAATTACATTTAATAAGCATTTTTTTATTGATTGACTAGTTTATTTTTATCTTGTGCGAAATAAAAGAGCGCATGATTTGACGCAACCCGACGCTCGGCGCCGCCAAATATCTGTCTTAATTTTTTTTAAAAATCAAGTGCTAAAATGAGATTTTTGATAAGTTGATGTAGTGTTGATAAGAAAATTCGTGATAAAAATTTCGTATATTTATAATACAGGTGTATTGTTGGTTGCATAACCGTGTATACTATACAGACTGAATCATTCTAACCAATTTTAGACGCAACCCACAATACATTCTCACAGACAACTTGATACATTTAAATCAGAGTAGTTGTTGATATGTCATTTATTAAATTGACTTTTTTCCCATAAATTCAAAATGTACTTAAATGACGAAAAAACTGACATCTAGAATGCCACAAAAATGTTGTGGCAAAATCTCTACCGTCAAAACTATACCGTCAGACGCCAAGTTATAAAGACTGTCAAAACTATTATGGGTCTTTGAAAAATTTCAAACAGTACATCAATCAACGCATAGTGGTATCTGAGAATGTATTTTGGGTTGCGTTTGAAAATCGGTTAAGATTTTTATTATACCAGGTGTATAAAAAGTATGGAACCAAGCGTTTTTTTCGTGAACTAAGCACTTTACGAAAAAAATAATTAGTGTAGCCTAAAGTACAATTAAAATGTAACCATTTATCAAGAATAACATTTTTTGAAATTTCTTTTAGTTTTCGAGTTCTGGATTTTTTTTTTAATGGCAACCCACCATGGTAATTTTTTTAATTAAAAATGTCCTCTAATTCACCTGGTATATAACTCACCCTGTATTAAAATTTGACTTTTGTTGAATAAATTCAACAAAAAGAAAAACAAATCGAGACATGACAAAATAACATATACAATTTATAATTTCTTTCTTTTTTAACAAAATTATTGTAACAAAAACAAGCACAGTTGAGCAAATAAGATGTTCACTAAAATTAAAATTATTTTTTATTATATCACAAATAGCTTGAGGTTCATGAATAAATTATAAAAAAAAATACATTCAAATCAAATAAAGATTATTTATTCTTCGACATTTAATTCAATTCAATTTTAGGTTTTGTTGATCTAATTCAAAAAATAAAATGTATTCAACTCGTGTTCGTGTAAATCGGTTCATTTATTCTACTTCGTGGATGGTAAATCACTCGTTAACACTCGTGGTTTAAAAATCCACTCGTGAAATAAAGCGCCCGATTTACACTCAAACTCGTCGAATAAATAACTAATAAATAGATATACATAGAATAAAATAATAGTATATTATGTTATTAGGAGTAAAAGTGATAAACATAAACTCACTTTTACTCAGAATAACATATACTATTTTATCTGCAAAAGTATTCAGATCGAGAGTAAAGAGCAACACTTACTTAGCAAATAAACGAACAAAATATAACAAAAAAAATTATAACAATGCTTATAATTAAACATCACGCGTCAGAATCAGAATTCTTATTGGGATTTTAAAATGTTTATAATTTAATTAGTGCAGTTAGTAGTGCAAAATGTTGAATACTGATAATCTACAATGTTTCTCTCCAGAAATTGCTGAAGTAAGAAATAAACAACATTGGTTAATGTCAATAATGTCAAGTAAAAGTAAAAACTCTTAGGCGTCAATATAGAATTTTTACTCTATGGCTGGCTACTTGTGACATTTGGTCATAAAAGTGGTCACTTTTGTGGATAAAATAAATTAAAAATAAAAGCAGCAGTATGCTACTTTGTTTATGCAAGACATGAAAAGATACCATTAAAAAGCAAACTAAAAAAAAAATAAAGAAAAAAATTTTTGGTGGTAAAAAACGAGATGTTTCTAAGAATAAAACTTCAAAAGTTATAAACTTCTAGCACAACCCTGTATAAACATGTTTTGTTATAATTATTATCATCTSTTGTTAAATTAAATGTTAATGTAAGTTTGATTAATCTTTATATTTTTATTTTTTTAGGAAAACAAGGAATTGTCATAGGAAATAAAATTTGGTTATTTCAAATTTGTGACGAAGGTTGAAACAGATCTTATCATAAAAATATTGATTATGTATCACGCAGACACAAACACACCTCTTTTATAGTAATTGTATCATTGTATTGTGTACCTTCCCAAATACACTTTCATTAATTTAATGTAAAAAGTGTGTATAGTTTGTACACCCGTCGAATTTGTGTCAGTCATACTCCGGTGCTGCATCTGTTAAACTCAAGTCTACATCAAATATTTCATAATCGTGCTATAATTATCTCATTTGACATTAATAATATAATTATTGTTGCGATAGTGCGGTATCTAGGTCATAAACTTTCTGTGTTAATTCTCTATTACAATTTCATTATTTGCGAATCTGAATCGCGATGTTTTTTGAACTTTATTGGCAATATTTTGTAATTGGACTAATTCTATACGGTGTAGTGCGATTATTTTACATTTATTTCAATAAAGAAAAAAGTGCACAGAGCCAACACAAGAAAGATGACGATTTTAAGACACCAGATCAAAGTAAGAAATTTTTATTATTAAAAATTATAGCTTTAAACAACTAAAACTGTACTTGAATGATTTTTTTTGACTTAAACTAAATATTTTCAGACTAAAATCCTTTCTTGATAGACCCTAAAAAATAATATATTTTGGGTAAGATGACTGGCAAAATGCATGAAACTCGTTTTACTATTTTTTTGTAAATAATTTGCATGTTTTGACAGTGATTTAGGACATTATTTGTAGTCAACACATTTACAGCATCGTTTGCATTAACATTTTGAATGTTTTAATTTGTTATTAATATCCAAAAATCAACAACAAATTTTTACACTTATAACAAAAAAGCAACAAATTGCAAAAATTAATAAAAAAACAATAAAAATTTTATCCATTTTTTTTAAATTAATTTTTAATTTAATCAATTAATTTCAATTACTTTGCTAGTCTTCCTACTATAATAGCATATTAAAAAACAAGTTTTATAAGACCAGTCTTGAAGCACGAATTCAAGTTTAAGAAACGAGTGGCGCAGCCATGAGTTATTTTAAGGATAAACTATACCGAATAAAAAAATAAATCGTTATTTAAAAATTCTGAAAAAAATATCATAATTTTTTGATGGCCTTACCAGCAATATACAGGTGAATATAAAGTATAGAACCAAGCGGTTTTATTTTTAATCATTTGTCTTCAGAAAATAATAATTAATATAAATTAAAGTAATATAAAAAATGTGATCGTATTTTCAGAACGAAATTTTGTTTTGTTTTTGAGTTATGCGATTTTTTTTGTCAAAATTTCAATTTATGTGAAAAATTTTTTTTCAAAAA